CTGTTGCGGTATTACCAAGTAAAATTCCGTTAAATCCAGAAGTTAAAAGTAATACTATGACTGGATGAGGAAGTGTATTAATTCGGTTCATCGTGATATAGAAAAGATATCAAGACCGGAATAAAGCGGAAGCTAACAACCACCAAGGAAACGAGGAATGGTAGGGACACGCTTGACGCGCGAGTAATGGACTTTAGTACAGTTAAACAATACGGGATATAACAAAACAGTTATGGTTATAATTGTTTACAATAACTAGGGTTTCCGTTTCAGCAATTGTGTTCTCTTCGTAAAAGCATTCCGCTACATATTCGTAAGGTTCATTGATGTATTCATATGTTCCTTGATGAAATAACACGCTGATAAAGACATCCATAAGTCTAATACGGTTGTTAGAAGTATAATCATTTCTTCAGGCTAACCAAAATTTTCCGGCACACCGTTATACATGATATATTCTATCAAACTTTGTGCCTTACAAAGGGGATGAAAATAAAATTTGGTGAGTTGTAACTGTGCCGAAGGAACAAGAATCGAGCACGAAGGAATCGAAAGGTTTATATTTGCCCATGAGAAAGATACTGGATAAATTCGAATCACGGTACATACAAACTCACAAACAACTGTCAACAGACTAGAATTAGACAGTCCAACGGCTAGACCACAATCCATTGGATTCTTTCAAGGGCCTAGAACTGTAACGAAAGAACAAGATTCGAGCTCAAAGAAATCAATTGGTTCATCCTAGCTCAGGAAAAAGATATAGGATATTGGAAATTGAATAAAGTGAGTTGGAGTTGTTGCGGGGATTCCGCCTTTTTGCGTTGCGTAAGTAGGATGATTTTTCCCAAGGGTGCATGTAATCGTAAAATATGACTGCGTAATATCCCACTAGTTTAGTCAAGCTTTACGACACAATTTTCAAACGCGTTCTATCATGTTGTATTATGTTTGCTAAAAAATATACAGAAATTAAGTTATTCACTTTCTCACTTTTACCTTTGAATACTTTCTCCAGTATGGTTCACTTAATTACTACTGCAATTTTCGTGTCCTCTGCTTGTCTTTCGACCTAACCGTATTAATGTACTTTTAAGGTCAATGAGGTAATGAAACTTACATCGTTAACATTACTAGAAAAAGTTCAAGGCTGTAGCGATTGCAAGAAAACTGCAAATGTCCGTTGTATATTGAATTTGTCCCCAGAACATGTTCTCTCACATTGAGCTTAGCTCTGATTATTGTCTGCTGGATACATGGTAACCGAACTCTACACAATTTCATCTTGCTAAAGACACCACCCCCTTTCTAGGGTCACTGTAGCCTTGTAAGTTAGTGAAAAAAACGAGAATTCTATGTTAAAGGTAGAATTATGGCTGGCAATTTGAGTTGAAATTCTAAAAAACTAACCAATTTTATTTCCAAAACACTGCATAGTTGTATATACGAATGGACTTTGAAAAAAGTGTGTATGTATGTAGTATTTAGACTTTAATAAGACTATATTTTTTATCCCGAGGTTAAATCTGTCACTCATAAATCGCACTAAAGCTAAACTATACTTCCAAACCAACGGTTGTAGATAGGGCTCTCGCATGAACATGACGTTAATATTTATCTAGGATGACGTTTACGCAGTTTCCGTACCAATCTGTTGACTAGTTTCAGTATGACGGTTAGCCTTAGCGCGGTAGACATCGGTAAGTACCTTCAGAATAACCGCTTGCTGAGAAAAAATATCGACTGACTAACGGGTCGGAATAAATAAAAATGAAGTTAAATTCTTCTGCAATTTCCGATAGGTTTATAATGAATCTCAAACTAAAATTTAGCATACTTTTAGAATCAGGGTTAAGGCTAGGGATTAAAGTCTGTTAGTTAGGGATTTATGAATACCCTTAGAAGGTTCATAAATCATATAGAATATTCTGTTAATTCTCCAAACATAGACACACATTTAGGCGTCCTACAATAGTTGTTTTCCTAGACCTTAAGGCGGCATTTGACTCTGTTGATCGTAAGGTTCTGTGGCAGTGTCTGTCATTGAAAGGTGTACCAAAGAAGTACATTAACCTTATACAAGCTCTCTACTCGAACACCACTGGTCGAGTGAGGGCTTATGGCGAACTGTCACCGGAATTCTCAACATCAAGTGGTGTCCGTCAGGGCTGTCCACTCTCTCCATTCTTGTTCAACTTTGTCGTAGACATCCTCTTAGAGTTAACATTAAGCTCGTCAGATTTTTCAGGGGTTGACCTTCTACCAGGAAAGTCGCTTACTGATCTAGAATATGCCGATGACATAGTTCTATTCGGTGAAGACGCTGACAAAATGCAGAGTCTTCTGACTACCATAAGCAACAATGCGAGCATGTTCGGGATGTGGTTTTCCCCCTCGAAATGCAAAATGTTGCTTCAAGACTGGGTTGCTTCGGCACCTGAACTAGTGATAGGGAGTGAAGTAGTCGAGCGTGTAGATCACTTCACTTATCTGGGGAGTCTCATCAGTGCTGACGGTCTGGTGACTGACGAAATCTCAGCTCGGATACAGAAAGCTCGATTGGCTTTTGCCAACCTGCGTCACTTATGGCGTAGGCGTGATATCCGTTCGCTAACCAAAGGGCGGGTGTACTGCGCAGCAGTTCGTTCCGTTCTATTATATGGCTGTGAAACATGGCCGTTAAGAGTAGATGTTCGTAGGTTACTAGTATTCGATCATAGATGTTTAAGAAGCATTGCTCGTATATCGTGGGACAGCCGAGTAAGCAATGCTGTCGTTAGGAAACGAGTACTAGGTAAGGATGGCAGATCAATCGATGAAGTGGTGAAACTTCATCAGTTGAGGTGGTTGGGACATGTGTTACGTATGCCTAACCACCGACTGCCTCGACGAGCTATGTTTTGTGGTGTAGGAGTAGGTTGGAAGAAAGGTAGGGGCGGCCAGACCAAAACATGGCAGGAATGCATGAAGTCACTGACAAGTGGACTGAGTCATGTTGGTAGATGTAGACTACCTGGTTGGGGTCCGCGAGACGAAAGTCATCAATGGTTAGAGACCTTGAACGACATGGCTGAAAATCGTTTGCAATGGCGCAGGTGCATCCACTCTTTGAGCTCTCTCAAATCCTAATCTTCTGGATTCGTCAGTACCTCTACCTTTGTCTTTCTAACCTTATCTCACTGAGTTATATTTTTTGAATAATATCTTAAACCCTAGTCTTCTTTATTAACATTAATACCTCTACCATCTTTATCACTATGGGATTTGATTTGACATTTGCGTCTCTGTGCTAATAATGTGGTATGGCAACATGAACTTATGTACATACGTACGAAGTTCTACGTTGCAACTGACTGACTGACTGATGTCTATGTTACTTCATTACATGTTTGTGCGTAGACCTTATGCGAGTGCCTAGGACTCTATATGATTTTATTTTCTCAAAATGGACTCAGTTTACTGTCAACTTCTAATTCGATGGCTTAGTTTAGTTGGATTTACAATAAACCAATTAAGTTCTTATTCCACATCTGTGGTTAAAAAAGATTGTATACAATTTCTTCATTAAGCTACGTTCTTAGCTGATTTGTACACCACTCAACCATTTTACTGAAACATTCTAAGCAGTATAGTTACCTTTTATAAATTAATTAATTTCCCAGTTACTTACAAATTTTTGTAGTCTCATGTTTTGCCTTTTCGCTTCAACTATTTGTTATTATTCATATTTACCGTGTAGATTCAAAGCTTATTTCTCTGTTTTAATCTTCCAAAATTATGTACGATACATCTCAATTAATTGATGCACCCATAATATTGAACAATACGATTGTTAAGCAACAAGTACCACAACGCTAGTTAGTAATTTTTAATACTTAAACTAAATCATTTGATTTCGCAGCACGTCAGTCATTACTGAGCTAGTTTCAATGAACCTCAACATTAGAGATAATTATATGTTCCTTTCGTTTCAAAATACAGCTTTTTAATCAGCTGTGATAAACAAAATATCTAATTCAATGGCGTTATGTTTTATACAAAAGAGTGTGGGATATGATCATGATGCACGCTAAAAATTGTTAAAATGAACAAAACATCAGTCGACAAATGCTTAGTGAGACAATGTATTTGACATCTAAATGTCTCTAAGACCGAATAGTATCGAAAGCCAATTCAGATACCCAGTAGAATAGGTTTTGCTAGTCAAACTAGATATTTTGGCTCAAAGCATTAAATGTGTATCGTATTTAAACGTATGCGACTAGATGATACAAACTCAGGAGACAATCATATTAAAGCGTTGCCATCAGGCTTTTCTCTACCTCTCTGTTTATCGAAGTAAGTTTATGCTACAATGCGTTTGTTTAAATAAGAATCACACTGAAAACATCTCATCGTGCATTTGTTTTTTAGATTATGAATTATAACTCGATAATGAATGCAACAAGTTATAATGGAGTGGATAGTAAAGACGAAGTTCTATCCTCTTTGGAAAAATTATCTAAAACGGAACTTGAGACCTTATTATCTGATCATGAGGGCATAAAGAAGTTAGCTAAAAATTGCTCCGATGTAAGTGTTAGCAAGTAATTCTTATAAGACATTCGCATTTTTCTCAAAACATATTAGATTAAGAAGATCGAGTCTGACAAAGAAACCTGTATGAATGAAAATCGACGTCAAGCTGAGGCAAATCTATCGATGGAGCCAACTTTTAATATGATCAAAACGGAGCTGGTAGAAACTTATTCTAATTACAAACAATTAGAAGATCAATATATGAAACTTAAATCGGAAGTTGGTAAGTCTTGCACGATACTTGGATATCTAAAATAAAGACAATATCGGTACGAAATACTCTCCGAGTGTAATTCTTGCTTTATTACAAACTGCCAATGCACAAGCAGAAGAGCGATCTGAAGTATATTATCATCTCACTAATTTCCTAATTTAATTGTTTTTCTAGGAACTGGCTAATAGGTTTCTTGACAAATCCATGGATGTTGATATATTTTTAAAAGATTTCATTCCTCTTCGTAAACTGTGCAATGAACGTAGATTTAAATGTGAAAAGTTAGCGGAACAATTATCATCCGGTCACTTAAGTGTATCGAGTTTTTCCAATACTCCTCATATGCCATATGTACCTAATGTGATGATGAATTCAGATGTGTCAGCCAATACATCACAAATTTATCCTTCATTGCTATCTAATAACACAAATAATCATTTAACATCAACGTATGGCTTTAAAATATAAACATTTTGATTACATATGTATAGTATGTGCTTGCTTGTGTGCACATAACCAAATATTTGTCTCGATAATCTCTTCCATCGATCAAATTGCAGCTTCAGATCGATAAACAACTGTGTGATCTGTCACAAATTATGCGTCAGTGGGGAGGTGTTGAGATTGAACTCTCTAACAATATTATTGATAATTCAGATTTAACTTGCTTTTATATTATTTATTAGAACAGTTTAAACAACAAAATTTGCTGTACGCCTCCTAACTTGTTCTTTTTCCAATTAACTTTCATATTATCTATTTTTTATGTAAGGAACTAAACCAAATTATCGCATTCATTGTATTTATGTCCATATTAGACAAAAAGTCAATTAGATGAGATAATCTTTTGTTATCACTTTAATTTCATAATTCTAAATAATTGAATCGTTTCCAAGACAGCTTAGTAGTTAAAGCATTTGACTTCCAATAAATAGGTTACCAGTTTGAATTCTCCCTCACCTATTTTATTTTGGGTAGCTAGCTTTCGAATGAAAATTATGACTCAAACTCAAATTCAGAGAAACCTGTATCTGGAGAGTGTAACATGATTGAAGGGTAGATAATTTAAAAAGAGATGGGACGCATTCGCAATCTTATTCTATTATCATTAAAGTGATAGCGAGTGAAGATGTAGAGCGTGTCAACCGCTTCATTTATCCTTCTGTATCCGAGCTGAGATTTCGTCAGTCACCAGGCCATCGGCATTGATGAGACTCCCAAGATAAGTGAAGCGGTCTACACGTTCGACTACTTCACTCCCTATCACTAGTTCAGGTGCCGATGAAACCCAATCTTGAAGCAACAGTTTGCATTTCGAGGGGGAAAACCGCATCCCGAACATGCTTGCATTGTTGCTTAGGGTGGTCAGAACACTGCATTTTGTCAGCGTCTTCACCAAGTAGGACAATGTCATCGGCATATTCTAAGTCAATAAGCGAGTCACCTGGTAAAAGGTCTACTGAAAATTCATACGAGGATAAGGTTATTTCTAGGAGCATGTCTATGATAATATTAAACAAG